ATGTCGTTGGGTTTATCAGAGCTCATGGCAATGCTCTGTCCCAGCAAGAGGGTAACAATCCAGGAGTCAGGAAAGGAACTGCCTCAGTGCTTCAGTCCATAGCACAGCTTGTTATGTGAAGTCCAGCCCCTCAGAGACAGAAATCCCACTGTTGCCTCTGAAATAGAGCAGGGAAACAAGGTGAATCACTTACTGGGCACATGAAATCAGCAACTCCTTTGATTTCCACAAAATCCAGGAAAAGGCTACTTAGGGACAAAGACTAACGATGTCTTGAGACTATTAAAATTGTGACACAGACCTAGAAGGGATCTGGCAGGGCTTAGTCCAGCCTGCTCTAGAACTGCTCAAGGACCCAGGAGCTCCACAGAGCCTCATCCAGTGCAGCAGAGTGCCTGGCATCAGATCCCTGCTTTTTCTTTACAGGAAGCATTGCACCAGTCAGCACCTGCTCTGGGGAAGTGAGCTGCGCTTAAACCCAGGATCATTTCAGCCTGTGGTTGTTAGACTGTCCCACTGCCCGAGGCTGTACCTTTGCTCACAAGTCCACGCCGTACTCGGGGCAGGGCTTGCTGTGTCGGTATTGCATGATGTACACTGTGGACTGGTGCCACCAGTACAGCATCACCACTGCCAGGATGTGCCACACCTGGTGGCTCGAGCCGAGGTAGTTCAGCTGGCCTGTGGGCAACAAGGGCGAGGGGTTAAGCTGTGAAATTCAGCAACAGCGAGTGCAGTGCAGTGCAATCAGCCTCCTGCAGAGCTCCTGCACACCCTGCACTTGGGGGGAGGCGGGGCAAGTTCTTTAACAAACTCCATGGAAGCTGTCTGCCTCTTCTGATGCAAACACGTGCACCATTTTTCTTTGCATGGGAACATGGTCAGCCTGCTCTCTCCCAGGAAGTTCACCCACAGCAAGGACTGTGACACTGCAGGAAAAAAAACCCACCCAGAACAGAATTTCCTACCTGGGAAGTATCTTTCTGGAACTTTGGAAATATAGAAGAGAAAAGCTACAGCAGCGATGAAGTACATGACAACTACCCGCGGAGCAAACTCCTGCAAAAGAAAAGGAAGCTCTCCTATTCTGTTAGAAAGCAAAACCAGAAAAAGAAAGTCCCTGAATATAAAGAAGAAAACAGCATGAAAACCCTGAATCTTCCTTCACTGCCTATGTCAGCTGTGGACAGATCCAACAGGGAAACAAATGCCCAACTCTGAGAAAGCCTGAATGGGAATAAACTTGTTTTATTCTGACCTTTTTGCTTCTACACACAAGGTACTCAGTGTTCCCATGCAGCCTGCAGCAGACATGGCACTTGTCAGTGAAAGGCCATCTGCCACCACCCTGACCCCACACAGAACAGTCGGGGTGAGGGAGACTGCACTGCACATCCCACTTACCCACTGTAACTGTGGCTGCTGCACCCAAGGCCACAGGACTGCTGAATAACCAGCAACCCAGGCATCAGGTGGGTTTTCCTTAGCAGAAAGTTTTGTTACCTAAGTGGGGCATTTTTGTGAAGAGTGGGAACACAGCGTGTACCACAGGTGTCATCCTGCTATCCCAGGGGAAACAAAGCAGGGAAGACAGGGGCAGACAGCTGCTGTGGATCTGATTTTTAGAATGCTGGTGTGAAATGCCTTGTCTGAAGGCCACATGTGTATTCCCAAATGGTGCTCTGCCACATTCCACAGCAGCTCTGGACTGGGCTAAACCATCACCCCAGGGACCGCCCTCCATCCAGGCCAGCCTAAGACCATGCAGTTTCTGCTCACTATGAAAAGGAAATGTTTCCTTCAGCGCCATCAGGTTGCTGAATAATGGCAGTGATTTCAGGGGTTTCATACTGGGGCACACTGCACTGCCTTTAGCTGTACTGGGCCTCTGGTTTCACGGGGTAATTCCAAGTGGAGAAACCTGAACAGGGCAAGAGTTCCATAATGTCACAGTGCTACTAGATGAGGATTGCGTAAGAGACAGAGGGCTGAGCAGGCAAATGCTGATTTCTGCTGTCAACCCAGGGAATTGAAGAGGAAGCAAATAATCACCCCATCAGTGTCTCCTGGTTGCCCTGTGGAGCTGTGGAGGTGGCCAACCCCGAGTACTAATGCAGCCTGACAGATTGCTTCCTACTCCACAGCCACCTCAGCTCCTGGCCTTGGCCCTGTGGAACGAGGGTGTGGTCTGCCCCCCTCGGCTGCTCCCTCCCCAGGTAGGGACACACCTCCTTCCAGCTTCCTTCTCACCATGCAGGTCTAAGGCAGTACAGCAGGCTGAACCTATACAACCTGTCTACCCCGATCACATATCGAAGTGTTTGCATTTGGATCGTACCGACCAAAAGAACTCTGTACCTGAAGGAATTTTAATTCCTGCTGCTTCCCCGTCGCTTCCCTGAGTGTAAGAGGACCCAAGGAAGATGGCAAGTGAAAAGCAAAAGGGAATCTTATTTCATTCTTTTTTCTTACCTGTACAATGGATGCACTAATGCCACCATTGAGCCAAACCCAGTGGATGGTGGGAATGATTCCATAGCCAGACACGGAGCAGAAGATGATGGAGCGCAGCCTGTGCCACTGCTGTGTGAGGTAACTAGGATGGATCTGAGCAAAAAACACTGCCAAGATCATGGCCAGCACAGTGATCAAATACACCTGGCGCCAGTACTGAGGGAAAGAGAAACAAAGGCAAGTCTGTGGGTTTCTTATCCTGTGTAAGAGTAAACTCTGGGCAGGAAGTTTCAATGACAGATCACAGTGATAGATCAAATCTGTCCCTGCTGCAAGCACCATGGTGGGTGTGAGTGCAGGGACTTGTAGTGGTCAGCTGGCAGTGAGGAGAAGGGACTGTATTGCTCGGGGCACCTACAACACATCCTTTATTCCAAGCAGTGCCTGCACCCAAACACTGTCAATGCACCTCTGCCTCAGCAGCCCAGTTCAGCTCCCTGACAGTGTATACATGGCAGGCCTTGGAAGGAAACTCATTTCACTCCTCTATTAGATGGAGAGAAAACAAGCTTGTTTCTGCCTCCTGGCAGCTACCTTGTGGGCAGTGCTGTTTGAAGTGCCTGTGGTGGGACCCATCCCATGATCAGCCTCAGGCACTGGATACAGGTAGGACCTGTAAAGTTTCCCTGCTTTCAGAGAAATTTATTTTCTTGAGGTTTTGTGCAGTTGACAGCTGGAAAGGAAAACCTGCATTTGCCTGTGCCTTCAGCCAGCAGAGTTCTGCTGGGGCCAGAAGGGCATGTCTCAGTTCCCACTCCTCTCTCCCCGCTCCTGTTCTGCTTGGACACCTGCCACAAGCCCCCTTCCTACAGCATGAAAGCAACAACAGGACCACAAGAACTAAGCCCTCCGTGGACAATGCTCCCGACTCACGTTACTGCAGTAGAAGGCATAGAACACGCCTGACACGTAGCAGCCCAGGATCCCAATGGAAATTCCTGCATAATCCAGTGCCATCCATCGCCGGCTGGTCTTCTCCGAGCGGTGACAGCAGAACAGGTGATATCCTACTGAGCAAAGCATACAGACCTACACAGAGGTTCAAATGAGGATGATTAATTCCTTAAAAACAAACAGGGAGCACACAAGCTTCAGCCCTGCAGCTCGAGCTGGCCACTGGGCCCCAGCACTTTGTGTGGGTGTTTGCTCCTAGGCTGGCATCAAATTCTTTCCTCAAGAAACGTTTGTTCCTCTGTGACCCTTGGCAGGAGGAGGGAGGAGCACAAGAGCAGTGCTTTTCTAGCCAGCGAGGGAGTTTTCCCCACTTCTGGCTGTACCCAGGCATCCTGTACTGGCAGAGAAGACGCGTAGTGCCCTTCAGCTCTGTGCTCTTGCAGGGCCAGTGTCCATCACAGGAGCCTCAGCAGCCACATGTGACACACCTGAAGTCTGCTGTGCTTCCATGTCCATATCTGACATGGAAGCTCATGCTCAGACCAGCTCAGAAGTCAGAACACCAGCCCTCCTGCCCTACCTGACCATCAGGCCATGGCTGATGCCCGTGCCCCGGTGGGAGGCCCTTTCCAGCAGCACCTGATGCTGTCTAGGAGCCACATCAGACACAGCTCAAGCTGCTGAAGCTCTGAGACACAGCCCTGACATTGCCCTTGTTTTTCCACAGGCTCTCTCCTGTGCCAGCTGTGTTCAGTCCTCCCCGGTTTATTGCAAGGAGATGCGACCGACCCACCGCGACTTGTCCCTTGCAGAGCAGGGCGGTTCAAAGGCGCCGTGCCCGCACGGTGCGAGGGGCTTTAACCCCCGGGGCGCTCCCGGCCCGCGCCTACCTGGAAGCAGAAGAGGCAGACGGAGCAGATGACGAAGTCTTCGCGGGAGGCGCCGGCGGCGGGCAGCACGGCCGTCAAGTCGTAGATGCCCAGCGTGAAGAAAAGCAGGAAGCCGAGCAGGTGGCTCCAGATGTTGACGGTCTCGTTGGAGAGGATGAAGAGGCTGCGAGGAGACACAACGCGGGACAGGCGGTGAGCGGGGACCGGGTAACCGGGGGGGGGCGCGGGGCGCGCTCACCTCTTGATGCAGAGGCGGGAGGGCAGGTAAGCGCGGTATCCGTCGTGATGTAGGGGTTGTCCTTCAGGAACACCGGGATCTGCTCGTACGTGTACAGCCGGATGCCGCGGGGCACCAGCACCGGCCAGTACTGGTAGCTGCCCAGCTCGATGTAGTGCGCGCTGCGCAGCAGCTTCTGGTGCATCCTGCCCGCCGCCGCATCGGCCCGTCCCGCGCCCCCTCACGGGCCAGGGACCGGGAGCGGGGTCGGGATCGGCCGTGATGGCGTCACCGCGCGGCGCCCAACGATGGCGTCACCGCGCGGCTCCGCCTTGCGCGCGCCACAGCGGCCGCCAGGGGGCGCCCGAGAGCCGCCGGCGCCGCCCGGGGCCCCTCAGACTCCCGGGGTCCTCCGGGATCCTCCGGGATCCCTCAGACCTTCAGGACCTGCTGGGATCCCCGGGCCCCCCAGCCCCCCGGAATGTCGGAGCTGTGCCTTTGAGCCAGTTAGCCGTTCCCCTCAGGCTCGAGGCTGCAAACCTTTGTGAGGAGAGGCCAGGAACGCACCTGTCAGGTGAAACGATGCTGAGGGTTGTCGTTCCCAGCGGGAGTTGCACTTGAACCGTACAAGAGCAAGCTGAAGTTAATTGTGATCATGTTATTGCCTTTTTGGGGTTTTCCCTGTGTACCCCATGAGGTACCAAGAAAGTTTTAGTCATGAGGACAACTCATCCAAGTGGAGTGCATTGCCTCAGTAAGAACAGTTGGGGGTTATTTACCAGTTCCTTTTAATATTTTTTTCCTAATTTAAAAAAATAAAGGGGTAGGGGGAAGGATGTAATTCCCTAGGTGTACTATGGCTCTTGTTTTCGAAGTTGCAAACAAGTGTGCCCCACAGGGTAACTGTGGTTCACCTGCCCCTCCCCACAGGTCCTGTGCCGTGCAGAACTCTGCCAAGGTTTTCTGTCTCGTTAAACCAAGTGGTGTGACGAGTGTGAAGGATTTTCCCATGGCAGAGGTGTGTAATGTGAAGTAAAAGGTAAGAATGATGGGGGTTTAATATCCATAATGACAGGAATTGGCCCTGTTTTGGCCAACCTAGTGTACTTGGCAGTTAAAATCCCTGAACCAGAGTAGTGGTGCCAAGCTAACAGTAATGATCCCTATATGATGGCCATCTTTTTCCTAAAAGGTGTCCCACTGGCTTTGCTCTGTGCAATGCTTGCTAAGAGAATGAGGGAGATGATAGATGTTTCTGCAGAGAGGTGCTTTTGCAGGAGTAAGAACACAGTTGCCACGTTAATTTGGTAACCTCTCACTGCTGGGGAAAAACTGAGTGCACTCCTGCCAGCTCCTGCTGACACACTAAGAGATTCCTTGTTCGCTCCAGCGGTAACTCACTTTCCTCAAGCCAAATGGTGCGCGCAAAGTTGCTACCAAGTTAAAAATCTTAATTAGTCTTAATTGTCCCTTGACTCATTAGCTCTCTGAGAACACTACACCTGGAAAGAGCACTTTGTTTCTAGGCCCCGTGCAATTTAAATCAATTCCCAAGCGCTTCAAAGGGTTCAGTCAGAAGCAATCAGAGCTGACAGCACTTTTTTTTTCTAAAAGAAGCTGTAATTGGCTGTTAAGTTAAAGCTTTGAAGCTTTGATGGGAGAAGTGTTATAGGTCAAATTAATAGAGAAAATTGAGAAACAATTAGGGCAGCTTTAAATGAATTACTTCCACTATTTATTTTGAGCTTATTGAACAATTGTGTTGTATGTGTATGGGATTGAAATTAGCCATCTGTGCGAGATAGCTTTGACCTAAATTGACCTCTGGGGTAAGTAAGTAGCTTGCCCTAATTCCTACCCCAGATCCCGAATTTTACTGGCAGATAAGCTTAATTGGGAGTAAAGATGAACGTGCCTGAGACGTTCCATATTTTTCTGTTGGGGCTGAAGTGATCTGTGCAGGCAGAGGTAGGGAAGGCTTTCGGAGTGGGGGGGGGTGAGGAGGTCACACGTGAGCAGAACTGTCTGTCAGCCCTACCTGCCTGCTGAGGGACTCATTTAGGGCAGGTAGCTCGGGGGCAGCTGCAGGTTGTGCTCGGGATGGGGGAGTGGCTGCAGCCCCCGGCAAGGGGCTGTGACCTGTCCTTTTACCTCGGCAGGGCTCGGGGCCCTGCGGCGCCGGGCGGGTGACCGGCTGCGCCGAGACACAAGAGCCGATGACTCAGCAGGAAGCTCCCAGACTCCGGGGGCACAGACTGGGAGGGGATAAACGTCCGGGGAATCCTTTGTAGGGGGCCCTGCCCGAGGCACCAGCTCGAGCTGCTACTATGTGTCTGCACCACGTTTAAATTACTTAAGGAACAAGAGTTGTAGGACTCTGCCACGGGAAACCTGGAGTCGAGCTGGTAAGGAAACCTGGTCTGATTGTGTGACATCTGACAGCATCTGTTTGTGCGCTGCTCTGGTTTTTCAGGGAGCAACCAGGGGAAGAATAATGATCCAAATCAAATATCTCATACGCTCTTTGCGGAATGTGAGCAAAACCCAAAGCGGTTCAGTTTTAAAACTGAAAGGGTGGAAATATTCTCGGTGCTGATTTTTGAGACACTGAAAGTGGTTTTTCCGCCTCTCCTTTCCCTGTTCTGCAGCGGGTCGGGAGGGGGCGGGGGCAGAGGCAGAGGTAGAGGTAGGTGACAGGAGGACCCGAGGCAGGCGGTTCAGGGCACGGCGCTCCTTATCAGCATCCTCCCGGTTCATCCCCAGCTTTCCCTCCAGGTGTCAGCCTGGCTCCGCGCTACCGCCAGTCCTGCCGCCGCACCTGGACCTGCCTCCTGGCAGCCTCGGGCTGCCTTTTCATCCTCATCCTCATTCCATAGAACTTGGGGGCGCACCCGGCGGGGCCCGGGCCTTGCAGACACCTACCAGTGCACATCGGGGCGGTGCTGGTGTCCCTCAAGTTGCTGTGCCTCCGTGTTTGATCATCTTCTGAAGTGCCCGGCAAAACACCTCCTCCTGAGTTTTGTTTGGGGGCTTTTCATGGGTTTGTTACAAGTAAAGAAATGGGAGGTGCCCTGGGACTCCTTTTACCACTGTTGGAATGTGCTCGTGTGGAGAACTTAGCTTGTTTAGAGTTTTCCGTAAAAGGCAGACTGGTGTCCAGGGATGAAACGTGTTATCAGCCTGCCTTGGTAGGGAAAATGCATTCAGGAATGTTGGTGGAAGACATCCCTGTCTTCCTTTGCATCATGCCCATAGCCGTGTAGGTGCATAGCTCGGGCTTTCTTTGCGTGTGATAAACACAGCTGTGTTTTCCCTGGGGACGGGAGGGAGGAGGGATATTTTGGAATGCTGTGTGCAGGGGTGTCTCAATGCAAAGCCTGTGGCTTGAGTACAGACACTGGTTTGTGGGACAGAGGCCGTGTAGCTGCTCATGTGTGTAAAGTGCTCTTGGTTCGGTATCCGCGTGCACAGGGCCATGTGTGCACTGCCTGTTTACTGATGTCACACCAGGAAAGGGAGATATTAAAGCCCCTTGTCTTGTGCAACGCAGGGATTCTGTCTCCTGTTCTTGGAAGGGGCTGAAGCTGCTGTGAAATGGCCTCCGGGATGTTGGTACACGGGGGAGGCACATACAAGAAAATAAGGTTTGTAGCTGTGTGGCAGTCAAAGAGGCTTTGAGAGAAAGTGTGTGTGTGTGTGTGTGTAAGAACAGAAGTCCTGGGACACCCCTGATCCACCAGCTCCCTTCAGGAGACAGCATTAGGAACTCAAGTACCTTGTGTTCAATAACGACCTTAATACCAAGAAAGCTTGATTTCAAGACCCTCTTCCCTGACGGTCTCCCTTCCTCACACTGTCCCTGTTAGGATTTTTGTGGCTGAGCTCTCCGTGGTTTCCTGCAGCTCCTCAGCTGAGTGCTGAGCAGCTTCCAGGAGTGCCTGAGACACATTGCCTGACAGCTGCCACGGTGACTCCGGCTCTCTGGTCTCCCCGTGGAGAGATGCCGTGCGCTGTGTGCACTGAAGTGACTTGGTTTGGTAGGGCTCTTCCTTCCTTTTTCTAAATTTTTTTTTTTTGGGGGGGGGGCCTTTTTGTTTTCTGATTCAATCCCCTTGGCTTTCAGCTCCAGCTTCTGCATCTCGGCATCTGTCAGTGGTGCGATAAATTCTCTTTGGTGATAAGAGAACAGCTGCCAACAGCAAGAGCAGGGATGGCACTGGGGCTCTCTCCTGCCGTGCGAGTGCTTGCAGTCAGCAGAACCTCCCTGTGCACACAATGGAGGAGGCACCTCTCCTGCCCAGCCCACTGCTCTGCTTCCAATTTAGCAACATCTTTTCCCTCCGTGTTGAGCAGATGCACATGAACAATTGTGCAACGTAATAGAGTCCTAAACCAAAAGAACTGGAAGTAATTGACAAATGGCTTTCTTCTGGATAGGTTCTGAAGGTGGAAGTAAAGGAATTTTTTTGAGAATTTAAGGGATTTTCAGGGAAAGACAGAAGCCGTTTGCAGTGCTGCTTAATCGTGTGGGATGGTGTTTCCTAGCGGGACAGTCTGCTTCTAGTGAGAATGGTAGAGGAAAAAAAGTCCTTTGTGTGGAGTCCTGAATTTTTGGGCCATAGGATGTGGGTTTTTTGGTTTTCATATTTAAAGGTCTCCCTAACTCCAGCCTGCCTATAAAATTTTATCCCAGCTGGAATTTATGCTATGACAGAAGGCATTTTGAGACCAACTATTTTTACTAGAGATGTTTTATTTTTCTCGTTGTGGTGAGTTTAGCTGATGTATTTATAATGAGGGTGAAACTCCAGGAATTGTGGACAGCTTTGGCCCATAAGCTCATTTCACTTTTGGAGAAGCATGTGGGATTTGGACATTGCTAAAAAAGAACCAGACCATTCCTGTAGAAGTCCTAGGCTCCCCTCACCCAGTCAGAGTCTGACAGCAGATTTCCCAAAGGGGATCGTGTTTCCAAGACACTTAAAAGTCAGAACAGGTTTTCTGTAAAGTCATCCTGTGGTTGTGGGTTTTGTTATAAATCCTCACTGTTGCTGACTGACTGCTGTGGGTAGTTGTTTGTGTGTCTGTGGTCATGCTTACAACTTCTCATTTGGCTCTGATGAGGATTTCTATGCTGAAATCAATTGGACTCTCCCAGACTTTTAATGCACTCTTACATCTGATCCATGAAGTGCTGCTTTAATCCCAAACAAGGCCTGGGTACTGGCACTTGGGATCATCTCACTGTACCTCCTTTTGCCTTGTTTTTTTCCTCATCTGCCAAGATGAGCACATGCAAATCATGATTTTTTTTTTTCCTGACTGTCTTGCTAGATGCCACAATCTCTGCTAAGTAGTATAGTTTGGTATAGTTTGAAAATTGGAGATATGAAAATATAGGTTTGCCTTGCCTCTGAAAATGCTTCATAAAGATACAGAAAATGGGGAGGAAATTATTGTCTTTTTGCTGACTGCACTGTGGATATTGTTGCTTGCCTGCCAGGATTGGGTTTTTGCCTTTGCTACTCTAGTTTGTCTTAGGAGACTTTAGATTTTCCTCAATTATTTTAATTACTAAAATTGGAATCACATCATCTTTTTGACACACAGTTCATGTTCCCTCTCTCATCCTCATTCTCTATCTGGCTTCTTTAAGTCACGGAGACTCTTAAGTGCCAAGATGTGTGGGGAAGGCAGTGTATGGGAAGGGTGAAGTGCTGGGAAGTCGGTGAAGAACCAAGTACAGTATATAGCCAAGCCCTCCAATTATTTTTATTCCATTATTTTGTGATGTCTTTTGGCTACTTTTCATGATAGTAGATGCCCCAGTCCCATCTCAGTGTTGGCCTGGGAGCCCTGGAATGCTCCTCCTTAGCCATTATTTGGACTAAAAGCTCTCTGCAGAGAAGAGAGAGAAGGAAACTGGTAGCCTGCTTTCCTGCCCGATTTTCGCCTTTTTTCTTCAAATTATTTGTCCCTTTCATCTATTAATTCCATATACTTAAGCTAATGTGTTGGTTTTTAAGTTGTCAAACTTTAAGCAAGGTCCATAGAAGATTGTTTCCCAGTCTTAGAAACATTTTTGGGGATTTTGCTCTGTTGTTCTCCAGTTGCATCCTCCTTGCCATTTCCTTCGACCCACAAACCATGCTATGTGCTGCATCTCGTCAGTCATACGAGACTCATCAGCATGTCCCAAAAGTGCTGTCAGAGCACTTGGATTTGACCAGACTTGAGGATTCTGTTCCACTTCTGCTCCTTGCTCTGTGACCTTGGAATGACGGTAGCACAGTCTGTTCTGGGACAAGCGCAGCAGCGATTGAGCTCCCTGTCTGCGCTGTGCACGTTCAGCTGTGGGGAGTTAGAGTTGTGGTACTCTCGCCCAAAGCCCATCTTGATCCTGTTTCCTGTTTTCCTCCAGTTTGCTGAGCTGATGGATGCCTTCTGACGGCATTCCTGCCGTCGGAGTGAGTGCTGGAGTGCAAGGCCTTCACTCAGCAGCAGACAGGGCGCTGGAGCCGCTGTGGTGCCAGCCTGTGCTGTGTCACTGGGAAGTGATCTTACCCACAAGTGAAGGGTGCCTCTTCCCCCGCTGACAGCTGCTGCTCACGACATCTGAGCGGCAGCAGTGCCTTGGGAGAGCCCGCAGCTGATCCGTGCTGCCGGGAGGGGTTTGGAGTGGGAACCGGAGCGCAGTGTCGGAATGGGGCACTGCTCACAGCTCTCTGGCCTGTCCTAGGGCCATATGTCATGGAGAGCCATTGGGCTTGGCTACTCTGGGTATTCCTGGCAAGCTGGGATTTTTTTCGGCAGCCTCACCAGGAGCTGAACGGCCGCAGATGTTTCCTCCTGACTGGAGCTGGAAGTTTGAAGGGCAGCTGAATTGGCTAATGTTGGTGCTTTGATGCAGAGTGTGAGAAATGGTGATGAGGCATGAGGCAGAACAGCTTGCTCGATTGCTGCTGGAGTGACTGTGCAGTGCTGACAGTAGTTAAAAACATGGCTTTTGTGCATAGGCTTGGTTAATATATAGGACTTGGAAGGCAGCTCGGAACAGCTATGGGCAATGGCCACAGGCTCTCTCTGTCTCTTTTTAATAGAGTCGCTTCCCTGCCCAGAACTGCACTTTAATTTTCAGTCTCTTTAGGGTCATTAGGAAAGGCTGACATTTTGGGAACATTTGTACAGTACAAATATGAATAACAGTATCCATGCTTTGTCAGACAAGGGAATGTGCAATGAGGTCAGGGTTATTTTCCTGGTTGTTAGCAGTGGTGACATTCCTGTTTCAAATATAAAACATGGTGTTCCTTTTGCTGGAGAGTTAGTCCAGAGCAAAGGCTCAGCTGGGGTCTCAGAACCAAGACATACTGGATGGGTTGTGCTTTCTTGGGGCCCCAGGACATGACTGTATTGAACTTCCCAGAGCAACCTCTGCTGCAGTAGGAAAGCCATTTTAACAACTCTTGTTCTCTGCTTGACCCTCTTTTCTGTCTATTGAGCAGGAAGAGCAAGTAACTCTGCCACCTGTGAGAAGTCTGGCTAGGCCTGACAGGGCAAACACCACACAGAACCTGGCTGCAACCTTGGATCTGGGAACCTGCCATCCTGCTTGTGTTCAGGCAGTCCAGTTTGCTCTCATCCTCACCCTCCTTGAGTATCCAGAAACCGCATCAGCAGTTCAGGGAGTGAGACCTCTTAGTTCCTGCTTGACCTTGCTGGCTGTGCCACTGCGGGAGGCAAAATCCCAATGGAAGCATTGCTGCAGGCAGCTGGGAAGGGCTGCCCTGTTCCTCAGGTCATGGAGAGACCTGCTGCTACCAACCAGGCTGAGAGGGAACTACAGGATGGGCGGCAGTAACCTGAGAGAACAGATGACCTTGGCCACATGTCCATCTCTCCATATCCAAGTAGTTTCAACTTCGTGTCAGTTTTTCAGACAACTTTCTCAAACAGCAGTTGATGTGCCAGCTGCCTGGAAGGTGGGATCAGATGGTTAGTGATCAGTCCCTCCCTGAGTGATCCCACTGGCTTCAGAGGGAATTCTTGTTTGAGAGAGACATTCACCCGTGACAAGGGTGTCCTTCCTGTGCAGTCCCAGCGTCTCTCCTTACACAGTGCACATGGGGAATGGTAGAAGAGACAGTGATTTTGGGTTTCTTGTTTAGCCTCAAAGTATTCATCCTTGTGTTCTCCAGGTTACGACATGCATCAGCTCATGGAAGCGGATGCCAAATGCCCGTGGAGTCGCTGAAAGAATATTTATCAACATTTCTCTCTCCACCACATTTCCAAAAAAATCTCAACAGGAAAAAAGACCTGCAGCCTCATTATTATGTCAGTGTAACTTGTGCCATGAGGAGATCAAGCAGGCATGTCAGTGTGGGACTGTCAGCGTGAAGAGACCAACTGTGGCTGTGTGTGCAAGCAAGTTCTGGGCACACCATGTCAGAGGGACTGCTGAGGTTCTTCCAGGCTGCTGAAATGCCCTTTTTTTCCTCCTTTTTTTTTCCTTTTTTTGATGGATGAGTAAATTATTAGGATGTGGACTTGTCAAACAGACTTGCCAGGTTTTCAGCAGTCATCCCAAGTGGACTGCCTAAAAAAGGGCTGGCACTGCATCACATGGAATGACCGATGATATGTCATATATTTTTAATGGGCAAAATGTTTTAATAAACATTCTCCCTCCTAAAACACTGGATTTAAAATAGGTTTTAGCCTTGAGCCATGTAGCTACCCAGCTGTGAATTTTATAAGGCAACAATCTCCACATCATTAGATGTTATGACTGATATACCAGTGATGGCAATAGTAAGTATTTCCACACACTAAAAAAGTTTCTGATAGCAGTTAAAGGAAGTATGGCTCTACTTGAAAGATTTTCTCAGCTCAAAATTAAAGCCATTTTCTGAAATTATGAAGCTGGGCATGTACTGTCTTCTAGTGAACTGCAAGTTCTAAGTATTCAAGCCATGCTGATTGCTGCTCCTGACAGTTTTAATCACATTGCCTGACACTTTTGGAAATCAACATTATTTTTCTTCTCGTGTGATTTCTGCATCTTCAGCTAATTAAAATTCTGCTGAAATGTTGCACAACAGGACAGATGAGACCCCATCTTGATCCACTGCAGTTGTCTTGCTTCATAGGAGAAGCCTGCTTGGGCTGTTTGGGTTTTTTCTGGGTTTTATTTAGTAGTGTGTGGGACCAGATCTCGAGTTGAAAGGTGATCCAATGACCCCTGTTTGGACAACTGAAGTCCCTCCTCTACACTGACCTCTGCACAGTGGTCAGTAAATCATGCACCTGTTGGAGATCTGTTCCTCTCAGCATAAACCCATTGCAAGTCAAACACTGTCCCTCTTGAAAACGTCACACCTCTTATCCAGCACAGACAGTGAGAGCAGTGTGTGTGTGTGTCTGAAAGAGAGGGCTGGTAGAGATGAGTTGCTTCTTTATCTTTGTGGTGATTTACACATGGGCTAAGAGAGTTCATAAAGTTGAAAACAAGTGCTATTGTTTCTGGACTCTTTGCTGTTTGAGGTGGGCTAGACCAGATGTGTTTTCTGTGATTATTTTTAATTTAAGTTTAGCATTGGGGCACTTATTCACTTTAGAGAAGACCCCCTTTTTTATACAGAAGGCATTCTGTTACAGTTTCAGTAGTCATTCAAAAATTCTGCACAAAGTGATTCTTTTAGTAGTGTACAAGTAGTTTCAAGCTGATGAAGGTGACAACAGGCTTTCTGTCATGTTCTCGTAGGACAGAAATAGAAGCACAAACAAGGCTTACAAAATCTGACTGGAACTGATATCAGAGAGGTGTTAATCTTTTAGCTGCCAGCTCTCTGGTGAGCTGATAGAGCTGTAGTGAACAATCTAATGGCTTAGCTGGGTCATGTCAGGTTTTAGTCCTGATGTCTGTAAAAGCATTTCTAGCACTGCAGGAAGGGACTTTTCATTGCTGCTCATGCAAAGATTTGTTTGATTAACAATTAGGTATTCCAGATAATTAGACTTTGCTTTTGATGTTTGGTATGTGTCTATTTTTGGTGGCTGAACCATAAGAGCCTTGAAGAGAACTTTGAGAATTTCTGGTGCAGTTTCCCATATTTATTGCATTTAGATGGAAGGTATCCTTCCTTCCAGAGGGGAATGAGTTGCTGTTGCTCCATAGTTTTGGCATTAGCTGTTGTGGTGGTGGCCAGGGAGAAGAGGACTCGGAGATCCTGGGTGCTGGCTGCTGTGAGGGCAAATGGCACCCGGCAGCCTCTGTCCCACTGAGCTTTCAGCCCTAAAGCACTCCCAGGGATTTGTGCAACCTTTTCACCTGTGATCCTGAGCTGGCTTAGGGCTCTATATGACTGGATTTAGTGCTGAGCAGGATAAAGCTTTCCTGCAGGTTATCTCTTGTGATGGGATCTTGTTTCCTGCCACTAGCCCAGGCATCACTCAGTCCCATAGCACTCCTCTCCCTGTTCCTCATGTCCTGGCTCTAAGGAGCAGTTAGTTAAATGGCAAATAAATCTGATTCCTTTTAGATGAAAAATCGAGTCGGGTAAGTTGCTGCTTGTTTTGCTTTGACTGCTGTGTCTATTAGGCAGTGATTTCTGGCACTTCCCCCCTGCTGTTGTCACTCCTCATAAACTCCATTCCCAGGGGCCTGACAAACTTGTGTGACACTGGAGAACAGCGTGGCCGCCCTGCCACGGGAGGGTGTTCCTGCCGTGGCTGCCCGGCCTTGCTGCCTTCCCCCTGCAGCCGGGGCAAGAGCTGCAGAGCTGGGTGCTCTGCTCCGGCACGGCAGGGAGGGCCACGCTGGGGGCTGGGGAGGAGAGGCTGCAATTCTGCCCCTTCCATGTTAGTGCTCAGCCTCGCCTGGAGTGGGCAGGGCCAGCACGGTGACCTCTGTCCGTGTTTCTGTGTGTGCCAGGCGTCCCTGTGGGCTGAGGAAAACCTTTTGGTGGGGTGAGAACAAGGGCAGAGGGACCCCGTGGTGTGGTGTCCTCAGCGACCATCTCTTCCTCCCCGACACATGGAGTAGGGGTGGGTAATGCACTCCCTCCCGAGGAAGAGGAGCTGTGCCAGCACCTCTGCCCCTGCCGTGGGACAGCACGTGACCCCCCAATTTCCAGATGCTCCCTCGTGCCCTGCTGTGAAGGCAGGAGGGCAGCACAGTATTGGCACAGCCTGCACGAGGATCTGGTTAAGTCTTGAAAGACTTTGTGGGTTATGACATTCCCCTAAATGTGCTGAGCTTTCTTTAACCTTTCATAAAACATTGTGATCTTTATGGACTGTATCATATTGTGCAGTAATGTGCTTTATTGTCCACAGAATAAGCTTTTCTTAAAGATAATTGGAAAGCTGGAAATGGCTGCTATCGGCTGATTTTTTTTTTAATACATTATTTCTGAAATGGGCCTGGTGTAATAATGACCCTATCTGTTTAAGATTTAAGATTTGTCTTGGCAGAGAAAATTGATCCATTTCACCTTTGTCTAATGGAAATTTTTATCTGGGATTATCTGTTTATGTAAATGAATGTTCCTCTGAAAAGAGAACTTGAGGGGGCTGTAAATCTCAGTGACACTTTAGTTTCATGGGGGGAAAATTGGAAAGGATTCTAGTATTTATCTGACTGAAATTGGTTATAAAAACAAAATTATCTTCATGTACCTGCTGCATCTGATGTTTCCTGGAATTTCATTACCTTTTTGAATAATGCAGCATTACACTATATATAGGATTCTCTGTGATTAAGCCTGAAATTGTTGGGGGGTCATTTGCTGGCACTGTAATTATCAGGAAAAGGCAGCGTATTTGGGGCAGTGGGATTCTGATTCCTGCCCTAATGGGTACCAATTAGCACAATCACATTATTCAGCGGACTCTGAGAAGAGCAGGGAAAATATACCACATGACTTTTTTTCCTTACGAATTTTGTGTTGTTTTGGTTTGGTTTTTTGTTGGTTTTTTTATATTTTTTTTTTTTAACTGAGGAGGGAATCTAATTACAGAGGAAAATGTCTTTGGCTAATCAGCTTTTGTTTTCTGTTTGCAGAGCAGGACTGTGAATGTAGCATTTAAACTAATGATTTAAACATCATCTTTAAAAGCAGTTTCACTGTTAAAGAGGCAGACTAGGATTTTTTTTGCCAAGTTCCTTCTTGAGCAATAGATGACACAGCATGACCTGGCTGGATCCTGGCTGGAAGGACCACGCCAGACACAACATTTGGCTCGTGTCTGCTAGCAGTGAACATGTTTGTCTAAGATAGCGGTTCTAAGTGCTGCCCCTTCTCCGGCACTGCATGGGACTGATCGAGAAGGGACAGCTGAGGTGATTTTGTACCTATTGTTATATTTCAAAAGGTACTATACAAGAAGATGCAGCTTTTTGGAATTCTTGAAAATTAACCAAGTTGAAAACCCAGTGTGTTTTCACATGAAGCAAAACTACTTCGTATCTATTCCATCCTTACCATCTTTGGCAAACCAAAAAGGATTTTGAAGGTGTAATGACATGACAGTGTCAATTGTAATTGCCCAGAGGGAGCAGAAGAACACACACCAGACATGACCATGTTTAACAGGTGAAACTTTTGGTTGCTGTTGCTCAGCAAGAAATTGCTGCTCTCCTGGAGTAGAGGAAGAGCCGTTTGAGTCTGTAATCTGTGAAAGAACTTCAAGGTACAAAACAGTGCCCCATATTTGTACATCTAGTTAAGTGGCCTAATTTCCAAGCATCTTCCAAAGCTGGTTGCTCAGAGCCTTGAAAAATCTCCCCCCTGTCCAAGCTGCCCACATGGAGAATAAGAGCCTGACTTGGGAGGTGCATCATCCAGGTCTTCCCAGGCTGATTCCAATGGGAGCTTGGCCAAAGGCTTTAATGACAAGGGGATTTCCTCTCTGCACTCAGAAATCATGGCTGTAATTGGTGCTCTGCTGAGTTGCAACAGGACTTCTTCAATGGTCTAGCCTAACACAGCAGTTAGTACCAAAAATATTTTAATAAAACTAATAAAAAGGGAAAACCAGCCCTTATCCATGGCTTTCACTCTGTGATAGCTGGCAGATTTCTCTTGAATCTTCTGTGTCTTAATGTTGCTGAATTTATTTCCATAAAACTTCTGGCAGCAATGTTCCCTGCCCAAGTTCTTTACTTCTGTGACTTTCTGCTCCACATTTCAGGCAGTCATTTCAGCTGGAAATATACATTATTACCAGCTCATTAAATCCAAAATAAATGAAGTGGAAAATTACAGAACTCCATGGATTACAGTGCACCCAACTCAAAATAGAAGTGTGTGATTAAAAACAAAATGGTCTTCATTTTAAAAATGGATTAATAGTTTTGGGCCCAGCTGGCAAAATATCCCACAAAATGTGTTTTCAGAGTAGGGCTAATGTAAAATAAATGCCACTAACGGTGCGCAAGGTGGGCCTCTACAAGTGCAGGGCTTTGCAGTATACAGGCTCAAACAAATAGAAGGAGGATACATATTTGTAGTATAAAGCACTGGAAGACAGGAGAGGCACTTGA